TCTTTGCCTTTCCCTTACGTGTGTGTGTGTGTGTGTGTGTGTGTGTGTGTGTGTGTGTGTGTGTGAGAGAGAGAGAGAGAGAGGAAGAGGGAGGGGGAGGGGGAGGGAGAGGGAGAGGGGGAGGGGAAGGGGGAGGGGGAGAGGGGGGCGAGGGAGAAGGGGAGGGGAGAGAGAGAGGGGGAGAGGGAGGGAGAGGGGGAGGGAGAGAGGGAGGAGGAGGGAGAGGGAGAGGGGGAGAGAGGGAGGGGGAGGGAGAGAGGGAGGGGGAGGGAGAGGGGGAGGAAGAGAGGGAGGGGGAGGGAGAGAGGGAGGGGGAGGGAGAGAGGGAGGGGGAGAAAGAGGGGGGAGAGGGAGAGAGAGAGAGAGAGAGAGAGAGAGAGAGAGAGAGAGAGAGAGAGAGATCAGACTCAGGTGTCCTTCCTAGGTTCTTTGAGGCAAGGTTACTCATTGGCCTTGAATTGGCCAAGCAGGCTAGGTTGGCTGGTCAACCTATTTCTGCCTCTGGCTTTTTGTTTGTTTTTCAAGACAGGATTTCTCTGTGTAGCTTTGGTGCCTGTCCTGGATCTCACTCTGTAGACCAGGCTGGCCTCAACTCACAAAGATCCGCCTGGCTCTGCCTCCCCAGTGCTGGGATTAAAAGCATGCGCCACCACCACCCTGCTCACACTGACTTTTTTATGTGAGTTCTGGGGATTGGACTACCAAATATCCTTTGAGAATGTATAACCTGCATTCACGCGAATATTTTCTCATCAACCTCTCAAGCATCTATGCACACCGCTGTGCTCTCTCGAGACAGGCATCAGCGGGGGTGTCAGTAGGCAACAATGGGTAAAGTCGGTGTATCTCCTTAAGAGGCAGTGTTTTTGCTGGTGTATTAGTCAGCTGAAGGTCTGTAACAGAGAGCCACAACTGGGTGATTTAAACAACAGAAGTATTTTCCCGTTTTTGGCTTAGAGTTCGAGGTTGAGATGTTGGGGGGGGGGCAATAATTTCTCTGGAGGCTGTGAGGGGACACCTGTCCCAGGCTGCAGGTATCTCTTGGTTTCCTTGCCTTGTATCTCCATCACCCCATCTGTCTACCTCTCTCATGGAGTCTTCTATGCGTATACTCTCTTTGAATCCACTGTCTCCTTTTAATAAAGACTAATTGGGTCAAGATTCACCCTACGATTTCATCTTCATCTGACTATATCTGCAAAGACTTTATTTCTAAATATCACATTCTGAAGTACTGGGGTTAGGACCACACCTATCTTTTTGGAAGGCCACAATTCAACCCTTAGCAGATGTTAAGGTAAAATGGAATTTTGGGGAGACCCACAGAGGTTTCCTAGTGAGAACTTACTCAGGGTCTGAGAATCTGAGCTTGCTTTACCCAGCAGGACTGCATAAGGGGGTGATTTAACCACGAGTGTGGTTACCAGGTGTTTGGAAGGGTCTGCACTTGTCTGTGTGGTATGCTTTGATCTTGCCCCTTGACATGTTAGCAAAAGCCCTTTTGAATAAACAGAAGTGGCCTTTGGGTAGTGATCCCAGCTCTCTTGAAGCTATTCTGTGTTTCTGTCTTTCTTCTCATCGGCTAGGTCTCTCTATCTATCATTTCCTAGTTCTTCTCTCCTCCACCTAAGAACCCTTCAGAAGGTGGGAAAAGGCTGAAGCTGGCCTCCCACAGAATTTTATGAGTGGGAGAGATGGCTCGGTGGTTAAAAGAGCTTACTGCTCTTCCAGAGGATGAGAGTTCCCAGTATCCATGTTGGCTCACAACCTCCTATAACTCCAGCTCCAGGGGATCTGACACCCTCTTCTGACCTCTGTGAATACTACGTACATGTGCACAGATACACACAAACACATACACCATTAAAATTAAATCTTAAAAAATAGAAATGATATTTTACATTTAATGTATTATGAAGCTTGTCTGTTAGTCCATACCTATAATCTCAGCACTTGGGAGGTGGAAACAGGAGGATCAAGAGTTCAAGGTCATCCTCAACTAAATAGGGAGTTCCAGGCTAGACTGGGCTGCATGAGATCTTATTTCAAATAAACTAACTTAATTATATGAAGTTGAACACAAGATTCATATAGATTTGTAAAAACAAACCACAAAGTGCTCCAGCAATCCTGGCTTTGGATAGGCTCAACCATCCCCCCAGTGTCTTCCTATCTCCCCGCTGCAGTTGGTGCCCTGCCCCAGGGGTGCAGTGCAGCTCTTTTGACCTGGACAGCATTTTGATAAGGAAATCTGGACTGTCCCACAGCTGGAGGCTACCATCATGTTGACCACAAAAGAGGAAACAGGCGGGGAGAAGGGACAAGGTGGTCCCAGCAAACGATAAAGCTTCTTCATTTTGTTCAACCAAAGCAACCAGAAGAACGTTAGAGGTTCTTGTTTTGTTTTGTTTTGTTTAAGACAGGGTTTCTCTGTGTAGCTTTAGGGTCTGTCCTGGAACTTGCTCTGTAGACCAGGCTGGCCTCGAACTCACAAAGATCCATCTGCCTCTGCCTCCCGAGTGCTGAGATTAAAGGCATGCACCACTACCACCCTGCAACATTAGTGGTTTCTAAGAGCTGAACAATCTTTATACAACCCCCTCCCCACTACCTCACCAGCAGCTGACGGTCCTATCTAATACTAAGAACATCAAGGATCTGAACTAGGAACGTAGCTCAGTGGTAGAAAGCCTGTCTAGTATGCATGAGGTCTCAGGTTCAGGCTCTATCTAGTACCACAAGAAAATAAACGACACCAGAGTGCACTCTTCAGTGACACTTGAGACCTATAACCTGTTTTTCTTTCTGACTGTTGACCCAGTTGTACTACTTTGAAGGATAGACCGTATTTATAAGATGCTAATACAGGTATTTATTTATAAGATGCTAATACAGGTATCTAGTGCCATTCCCCTAAGTCTCCTGTATTCATACAGGCCAAGCCATTTTATTTCTAGAAAACTCGATTCAAATCTTGTTCACTGTTAAAGGTGATTTCCCACAGGGGTGGGAGGGCCACTTTGGGAAAGCCCCAGACCAATATGTACCTGCTGTGGTTTGAATGTAGTTTGTCCCTCTTAAACTAATGCAGGAGTTTAACCCCCACTATGAGGTGTGGGGTAGGTTCAAAACAACTCCACCTCCATGTTTTGGGCCTTTGGGAGGTTGAATAACACCAGTTCGGGTCATCTGGCAATGCCTCACTCATTCAGCGGCTCTTGCCGCCCTCTTGCGGTCTTATTTGGAACTGCCTTGGCAAGCCAGCTGGAACCAGTGGTTCTCAACCTTTCTAATGCTGCGACATTTTAGTACAGTTCCTCGGGTTGTGGTGACCCCCCAACCATAAAATTTCAGTTCCTCATGTTGTCATAACCCCCCAACCATAAAATTTCATAACTGTAATTTTCCCTGTTATAAATAATAATGTAAATATCTGATGTGAGACCGCAAGGGGTCACAGCCCATAGTTTGGGAACCACCGTGCTAGATTTAAGCTGAGTAGCTAGGTTGAAGGCAGGCTGCGTGGCCCTCTAAGCTCACCAGTGCCCACCTGAAAGCCAAGCATCCAGGAAGCCATTCTCAAAGTACTCGGGCTTTCTGGCCCTTCCATAGCTTGATTCCTGTGCCATGGTAACAAGGACCACATGGACCCAGTCCTGCTCCCTTGCTAGGGCCTCTGAGTCTGCTTGTAGCCTTTGGGCTCCACATCCTGGTAAAAGAGAAAATGGACAGAGATACTATGAGGGGTGGTGCTGAAGGATTCCCAACCTCCTCTTCAGAACTGTGCTGTTCAGATGGGTGTGTTCAAGTAGCCGCTCAAAGAATGGTTGCCCAGCCAGGGGTAGAGTGGTTACCAAGGAACTTACACAAAACCATAGGCTGGATCCCTAGCACCAGGGTCTCATGTAGCCCAGGCTGACCCTGAACTCACTATGTAGGCAAGGGTGGCCTTGAACTTCTGAGCCTTCTGCCTCTACCGCCTGAACTAAGGATCAAACCCAGGGCTTCACACATGAAGATGTAGTAAGCTTACATCTTCAACACAAAACAAAACAAGAAGACCCAAGTTCGATCCCCAGAATCCATGTAAAAAAGTCTGACATAGTAGCACGGGGCTTGTAATCCTAGTGCTTGGAAGATCCTTGGGGATCCTTGGGGCTCAGTGGCCAGCCAGCCTAGCCCATGTGAGGAGTTCCGGGTCTCTAAGAGACCCTGTCTCAAAACAAACAAATAAGCAAACAAACAAACAAACAAAAACCTGAAAAGAAAAAGGTGAACAGCACCTGAGGAATAAGGCCAGGCCCCACCCCAGACTACTCTATATGAAGGCCATAAACAGCAGCAGGCACCCAACCTCCTCCCTACATCCCCAGCCCGATCTCTTTTGATTCTTTGTCTTCCTTGTCTGCTGTTCCTGGTAAACCTGGATAATCCTCAACTCTAGCCCAGATTTTATCTGATTAGCAATCTTTTTGCTGTTGTGATGTATTGAGGCAGGGCCCTATTATATAGCACAGGCTAGCCTCATGCTTGTGTTCACAACACTTAGGAGATGGAGGCAGAAAGATCAGAAGTTCAAAGTCATTCTTAGGTACACTGGGAATTAGAAGCTAGTCTGGTATATGGGTTCTTGTAAAAGGGGTTAGAATGAGGAGGAGATAAACAGATAAAAGCGAAACAAAAGAGAAAAAAATGTCCATAAGGGTAATTTAGAGTCTGTGATATAATTAATTTTCAAGCCATTCATGAGCTGTCGTCTTCTCCGAACTGTGTGACTAATAAAAAGCTCATTAGGTAAGAGTCTTGGGTCCCCTAGGTTTTGCCAACCATTAAATGGTCTGTTTTCCCACCATGAACTGGCTACAACATTACACTGTGGTAGCATAGGCCTTTGATCCCAGTTCTCAAGATCTGAGGTAGGAGGATTGAGAGTCTGAGGTCAAGTCATAGCAACACCCTGTCACCATGGAACAAAAAAAAAAAAAAAAGACAAAATAAGATTTTATTTCTAACAGTTTTTTTTTAATTTTCTGCACTAATATTTGTACAACTGTAAACTCAAGGAGTCATCCAATACTTGTATACATCTGGAGAACCATTAATAAGCACCTTCAGTGGTTTCCACAGTTTAAGAATTTACCATGTAAAACATTTTAGAAGTAATCTAGTAAAATGAATAAAAGTTATAAAAGATGGATATCATGAGGAACGTGAGAGAGGGGGCTTCATAAAAATGACTAAAAACAACTAAGGCTACCCGATGAGGCTGCACAGAAGATTCACACGGCCCCTAAATCTTGTGATATAAACTCCAATCATTTAAGTAAAGACTGCCTCCCAGTTCAGGCTCCCGGTCCAATGTAAGCAGGTTGAGATGGAGGTAAGAGGAGATGGGATTGGAGGCTGAGAGTGATAAAGCTAGAAGAAAAGGAGGTAGGGCCTCCGTTCCCCAAGAAAAGCATCACACAAGATCTTCTATGTCTTCAAGGTTAAACATTCGTTTGCAAAATGTGCCATTTTTCTCTGAAGTTATTTAAGGGTTTTAGTTTTAGCTGCCTTTAAACCCCTCCCCACCATTTCCTCTTGGGTTTTCCATTCCTCTTCTCCATCCACAGTCCCACTAAGGCTTGTCTACGCCCTTACCCTACACTGTGCTGAATTGAACTTCTGATGCTTCACTTTCAATCCAAAATTTCTATTGCTTTAAGTGTCTTGGAAGTGGTTAAAAAAGAGATAGATAGATAGATAGATAGATAGATGAGAGATCGATAGATGGAGATAGAAAAATAGAGCAGTGGCTCTGCATATGGTCAGGGGCTATTTTTGAAACAAATAGCAGACAGAAACATGCAAGGCAGCATCAGTCCCTTGAACTTCACCAATGAGCACAATGAGCAATTAAGGGTCTGAACCACTAGTAGAAACACCCAGTTAGATCTTCCCAGATTGGGTCTTCAGATGGAGATCTAGCCAGAAAAAGCCATAGAGAGAGGGAGAAACAAAGATACAATTCTAAAATTAAGGGACTATGATGGGCCACTACTTTATTCAAGCCCTACCCCAGCCTGGGCCCCAAATGACTCTCCATGAGAATACTTGGAAACCCGTACAAGGAGTGGGGCTGAAGACTCACATGGCATCACAGACCAGATGCTAATACAGGTACTTTGGCAAAGAGGAAGAATTTGCTACAATTCAAGACACATCAAAATAATAATCCCCTATCCTCAAACATCTCGACACTAGAGTCTTGAAATTTCTCTTACAGGACAGTTCTTTGACTTGCTCACTCGATTATCAATGGCTACTGCTGAAATACCAGGATTTTTCCATCTGGGAGGGGCTGCTTGTTACCATCCACCAAATACCACGAATTCCTAGGAGAAGTTGGCCTTTGATCACATGACAAATCATGCTCACGAAATTTAGAGTCTTCGACAGGGTGAAGGTGGTACAGAACAGGACAGTCGCTAGATGGGAGCATAAAGACAGAGATTAGAGTACCAAGAGAAAAAGTTTGACTCATAACCTTGCCTAAGCTGGGCCTAGGTGCTATGTTAAGAACCTGACAGGCTCTCAGGCACCTCAGAGTAACGACTGAGCTTGTAAAGCTACAGACAAGTAGCCTGATTAGGTCTTCGGGAGACCGCTTACCATGGAGGAGTCTAAGATTAGGAAAGGTCCTATGGCTCTGGCATGGGCACATAATTTTCACCCTGAAATTTTTTTTGAAGACAGGGCATCATGTAATCCAGACTGCCTTTGAACCCTGCTACATAGACAAGATTAACCTTGAACTCCTGATCTTCCTGCCTCCACCTCCCAAGTGTTAGGGTTACAGGCATGCACCACTATGCTGGCTTTTTACCCAGAACTCTATAATCTCTCTGAAGACTGGGGTCAGGGAGTATGTGGGGGTCCTGCCCTCATGTTGGGGTAGAGACCTTCCCATTACTGAGCGCGGGGTGACTGTTTTAGGGGAGATTGAGAGGCAGTTGTGGGGGCTCAGGTTAGGCTAGACCTGGGCCTAGTGGTCACTCCACTGCAGGACAATTTTCAGTCAGTCGTTTCTTCAGATCAAGTCATTTCAAGTAGGGTGTTGCTGTGAAATACTGGGAGAGGGATCAAGGCGTTCTTGTCATCACTTGTGCTCAATGCAGTCAACTCCCAAGGTGTTGTCAGGACATCGGCAGGTCCTGCTCCCCGGAGTGGGCAAGCAGAGGTGGGTACAGCCACCATTATTCACTGAGCAGTAGTTGTGGCCTGGAAAAGATGGAAGTCAGCGTCATAGTCTCCTCTCTGACTTGATCTCTACAGCAGCCTCCCTGTTAACCTCCTTGTAGGTTCAAGGGGCCAAGATAAGCTGCTGCTTGTTTCTTTATCATAAATCTATCATATTAAGACAAATCTATCATAAATAAGACAGGTAAGAACATGCATTCTTGACTTGGAGGTGTTGCAGTTAATGTGGATTTTCAGCCTGGGGGAATTTAGAATCCCAACAGAAGCACACCTCTGAGTATGTCTGTTAGGAGTTTCTAGATTAAGTTTATTGAGATGGGAAAATCCACCCTAACATGTGGGCAACACCATGCCGTGGGCTGGGTTCCTGGAATGAATACAAAATGAGAAAGCAAGCTGAGCCCCAGCATACATCTCTCTCTGCTTCCTGACTGCAAGTGCAAGGTGACCAGCTGCCTCACACTCCTGCCACCATGTTGACTCTACCCTTAAACTGTGAGCCACAATAAACTCTTTCTTCCTTAAGTGGCTTCTGTCCAGTATTTTGTCTCAGCAATGAGAAAAGGAACCAGCACAGAGGGCTGGCTGTGGAGAATCTATTCCACAGATTATGGGGAGGAGGGGACTCTCCAACTCTGCTGTGGAATATTGAACTATGTAAAGTTGTGTTACATTTGTTTATGCCCCAGAATATTACTTTAACTGTGTAAAGGTGTGGTACATTTGTTTCTGCTGCCTTTGTTAATGATGTAAAAACGTGTTACATTTGTTTTTGCTGCATTTGTTTAATTAGGAAAAGATGTGTTGCTGTTTCACCTTGCCTGCCTAAGACACCTGATTGGTCTAATAAAGAACTAAACAGTCAATAGCTAGGCAGAGAAAGGACAGGCAGGGCTTGCAGGCAGAGAAAATAAACAGGAGGAGAAATCTAGGCTTGAGAGAGAGAAGAGAATGAAGAAGAATAAGAGGGAGAAGGAGGAGAGAACAGGAACACACCCAGGGCAAGAAGCCAGGCAGCCACCAGCCAGACAGACGCAAGAGGCAGTGAAAGTAGGGTATACAGAAGGAAAGAAAAGTCAAAAGCCCTGAGGCAAAAGGTAGGTAAAGAGAAACAGGTTCATTGAAGTTAAAGGAGCCAACCAGAAATGTGCCTAAGCTAGGCCGAGCACTCAAAGCTAATAATAAGTCTGTGTCATGATTTGGGAGCTGGTTGGTGACCCAAAAAGAGAAAGCCTGGTACACAGCTCCAACATGGAGCTGAAACAAAGCAGCAGATATTTTCCATCTAACACACCCATGGCCTCCTACTGACTGGGAGCAGGCAAGAAAGAAGATGGCTTAGGAAAGAAGCCTTTGAGAGGAGGCACAGTTCAACACAGACTCTGGATCCAAGCCAGGAGGACCCACCTGCAGCTCTGCTGCTGTAACTGCATGATTCTGAGCTCGATGCTTGCATTTCCTCATGCATGATATGGAAATAACAGCATCAACCACACAAGACAACTTACATGAACTAATGAACAAAAGGAACTCAGAACTGTGAGTTGAAACATGTAAGATACCTAGGCCACAGGAAGCTTTGTATATTTGCAACTTGTGTGTTTGTGTACACATGCATGCATATCCATGTGTATGTCGGCGGGTGTGTGTGTGTGTGTGTGTGTGTGTGTGTGTGTGTGTGTGTGTGTGAATGTGGAAGCCAGAGGACAGCCTCAGATGGCATTGTCTCCCTTGAGACAGAATGCTCTCATCGGCCTGGAATTTTCCAGTAGGCTAGGCTGACTGGCTGTGAGCCCCAAGGACCCTCTTGCCTTCGCCTCCCCATTATTGTAGTAACATGTCACCGGTCCAGCTTGTTTTTAATGTGGGCTCTGGGGATTGAACTCAGGTCCTTACGCCTGCAAGCATGCACTTTAGCTGCCGAGTCATCTTCCCAGCCCTACCATTTTTCTTATAAGTCACTTTCATTTTCATTAGGCCAAATGGGTGAATGTTCAAAAATATCAGTGGTTCAACAGTGAGTTCCTTTTTGGTACCTGAAGACTGTACACTTCAAGACTCAGGCCAAGACTCAGGATGTTTCCTGACCACATCCATGCCATAACTTCATGCTTCTCATTTATGTCTCTGGCTCCCCATTGAGTAACGAAGACTCTTGGTGAAAGTGACCACATCTCATCCACTGTGGCCACTAGCAGCAGCATGTAGGCTTGGAGCCTCAGGACACCCCCCAGATACTGGAGAAAGCAATGATGGACTGAAATATCCATCAAGAAGGGATATCCAGGATACTCAAGTTGAGCTTTCTACAGGAAGGAGCCTAGGGCTGTATTTAGGCCACCACGATATGCTTAGGGACTCTGAGTGTTGACCCCACATTCAGCAGCAAGGATGAGTTACCTTGGGGGCACTGGGACAGGGCGATGGTGATGCCGTAGAGCCGGGTCTGCTTGTGGGGGTGGAAGGTATCCATCTCTTTGGATATAGCAAGGTCCATGGCGATCACTGAATTCCTGCAGAGCACCAAAGCACGGAGAGTGAGCATGCATCTGCATGAGCACGATGGCTTGCACTGTTTTCAGTGGCTCACAGCCTCTCTGTGGCTTGGAAGAGAAAAAGACATGGTGTCTTGTCTCTGTGTATTCCTCCCCTTGGGCTGGGCCAAGCCTGTAGTTCATTGCCTTTTTACAGTAAAGGCCCAAATAACCTAGCTCTCCCCTCTGCTCTAAATTCTAGGTGACATATAGGCTCTCCTGGCCATGTCTCCTTTGTAGGAAGGTCTGGTCCAGAAGCAGCTGCGGGAATACTGCAGTTTTTAAAACTACACTGATGTAGAGGTGTGACATAATCATGGAGCCCACCAGCCATGTGCCCGCAGGCAGCTCCTGGGGAAAGAACAGACATGCTCAGGAAGTCCCAGGTTCAGGTATTATTAACGGTGCCTCTGCTCCTCTCTGAGATCTGCCAGCCCTCTTCCTCTACCTTCTTCTATGTCTCCTGACAGCCAGGAGGGGGGAAAAAGCAGGCATCACTGGAGGTCAAAGGTTAGGACAAGAGGCCAGAGGCAAAGGCCTCCATAGACAATGGGAAGGACACAGTTCTGCCCAGCCCGCACGGCAGCAGCCTACATACGTCTTCCAGTCTGTGTAGTACAAATTCTTCCCATAGCTCGTCACGGCGAAAGGATACTGGAGCCCTTCGAGAACCTTGCGTCTGCCGGGCTGAGCCGGGTTCAGGCATTCTGCTCTATGGGTGCCTGTGTGCAGCAAACACAAGTTGGTCATTGTTCATGCAAGAAATGGGCCCTTTGTGTCAGAAAACAAGAGTCTGAAAGACAAGGGAAGGGGAGTTCAGCGTTGCAAACGACATGTCCTGGGCAACACAGAGGGCCGGCTCCTCAGTGCTGACATTCCGTTTCTGCCTCCTGCCTTTTCCCTTTCATCAACCTACACCCACCTGAGTTCCGGCACCCACACCTGGCCCTACTAAGGAGAGGTGAGCCAAGGCAGAGAAGCCACAGCCTGCCCCGGCCTTCCCAGCCCTTTGTCTCTGGAGGAGCCCCGTTATCTTCTGGCTTTTGCTCAAGTCCCTCCCCTCTAAGCCTCTTCAGACCCTTTCTTCCCAGAGCTGGGGCTCTAAAGGAGAGCAACAGATCAGCAGCTGTGACTGGCCCACCACTAACACCTGCAGGATGGCTGTCACAGGCTTATACAAGCATGTAAGTGTTCACACCTCACTCTTGGTCCTAATTAGTTGTAGGGCAGAGAAGGCACTCAACCACAGGCTTTCGCAGGGAGAGATGAAGGATGGGCCTCCCGGATAAGCATCATTCTCACATTTCATCTCAAGCCTGAGGGACACCCTGCACAACTGAAGCAGGAGCCCCTCAGGGACTCTGTGCAGGATGCTCTGTTATCGCTGGAGATACAGCATAGGCAGGGGCCTAAATTCAGCCCTCAGTAACCTCCCACCAAAATAGGAGTTGGCCATTTTTTTATAGAGCCATATAGCAATTGTTTCAGGTTCCGTAGGCCAAAAGGCAAAACAAAGACGATACCAGGTATTTATAACAACACTTAAAATGGTAACATTTAACAGTATAAAAATTATTCTGATCTTATTCTCTGTAGAGAAACAGGCTGTGGATGAGATTTGCCATCTCTAGAGCAAGAGCAATAAGAAAATGAAGAACTATATGCATGTGATCTCAAGCTTCCTGTTACCTGCATCCACCCAGCAGAGCTGAGAGGAGAATGCATCAAAGGTCAGGCCATTGGGCAGGCCCAGGTTGTCCTGTGCGAGAAGCCTCCGGTTGGTGCCGTCCATGTAAGAAGTCTCAATTTTGGGATTCTCTCTGTTCCAATCTGTCCAATAAAGGTTCCTGAAGAGGCAACAGGGGAGAAAGAGGAAGCAATAGCCTGAAAACACTTTCAGAGAACCAGGGAGGAAGAGTTCAGCAGACAGGAAAACAACACAGCTAAGTGAGACCCTGAGATGCCAAAAGAGATTCTAGGGTTACCTTGGCTCTTTGTTCAAATGGGGTTATCTGTTATGAACAAATTCTACCTCCTTTATAGTATCTTGGGAAAGCTAGTAAGAAAACTTGGAGGTCCTGGGGCGGGGAGGGGAGGGCAGTTCAATGGGTAAAGTGAGGACCAGTATTCAATCCCCAGTACTATGGAAAAAAAAAAAAAAAAGCTGAGTGTGGTGACTGAGGCTTGTGATCCCAGGGCTGGGGAGAAGGAGGCAGGTGGGTCACTGGGTCTCTCTGGCTAGCCAGCTTGCCCTACTGGGGGACAGACAGGCCAGTGAGAGACCCTGCTCAAGGTGTAAAAGGTAGGACACTGCCTGAAGAATGATACACAAGGTTTGTTACCAAACACACATGCACGCACATCAACTTTGGACCTGACGTAAACAAACAGTAATTCCCTGAGTAATAAATCTACGCAGGAGGCCACAGTGGAGCAACATGGTTTGACTAAAACAAGATGTAGATACCAGCAAGGTAGTGATGGAGATGTCTGCCGCATGTGAGGGGGCTGAGTGGCCACAGCACAAGCGATGTTGTCTCCAAGGGAAAGCATCAAAATGTCTAGGAGCGTCTTCGGCCTGGGGTGTAAGACCGAGGGCTTGCCGTACGGTGGAAAGGGAGAAAGCCGCAATGGGCTGAAAAGTCCCGCAGGAAGGGGACTCCAGGATGCTCAAGCTGCATCTGCTCCAACAAGGAGTGCCGGGGCATGGTTAGGCCACCCCAACAGCCTCACAGCATTCATGCAATTTGAGTATTAGTTCACATTCACTATATAGAAATGACTTGATTTCTGAGCTGTCATCCTACAAAGTCTCTTGGCAAAAATGTGAAACTGGACCATGGCATGAAGTGCACATTGTGGTAACTGTGCCCACAGCTCATCAGCTTGTAGACTTGGTTTCATCTTGCATGGATGAAACATCTCAGGAGAGTAATGCCGGCATTAGAACCTCCTCTGAGACCATCCAAGAAAGCCAGAGACTCAAAGAAGAGACTGACGCATGTGTGCAGGCAAGCGTACCCTCTTACGGAGTCTGTCACAATGCCTCTGGGATTCACCAACCCCGTGTCGAACAGCACTCGACGCTGTGTACCATCCATCTTTGCAACTTCTATTCGATCCTGCTGAGAGTCTGTCCAGAAGATGTTGCGGCCAAGATGGTCAAGGGCAATGCCTTCAGGGCTTCCAAGATCTAGAAGGAAACACCGAGTCATACCCTAGCCTACAAGTTTGCTGGTTTACTCAGTTGTCTTAGACATGGTGGTCAAACCTTGAGAAACCAAACGGGAATACGAAATTCTTACTATTTATAAGATGAGTAATCTTCCAAGTGACAAATTCAAAAATGTTACCCATTCATCCTCACCCATCCACTGGGTACCACACCAGGAACCTGGAAGGTCACTGTGACAAAGATGCAGCCCTGTCTATTAAGAAGCCCACAGCCAACCACCATCCAAACTGAGGTCTAGTTTCTATGGGCAGATAGAGAGACAGGATCAGAGGAGGGCTGGAGTTGACGAGGGAAGGGTTCTGGAGAAGTGGGCACCTGTCGAAGAAGCTGGTTCCTGAAGGACCAATGAGAGTTTATCAGACAAGGATCTTGACTGAAGTGTTTTCAGATATAAAGAAGACTTACAGGTGGCTTGAAGCGGGCAGCAAGCCATTTTCTATGGCCAGAGACCACGAGAGTGAAGGAGTAGCCCTCAGTGAAATGAGAACGGAGGTAAGGAACTCACAGCGCATCTCTCAGATGAACAGGAGACATGGAATCTTAAGTGAAGATAGAATGGTAGATTTTTCTTCCTTAGTAATTACAGGGCGGGGAGACATTTCAAGAAATAATATTGCCGATCACACTGTTAGTACTTAACTATGGGTGTAAAGGGTAAAGGAAGGTGTTTGGTGATTGCAAATTACACTCCCCACAACCTTCACTGAATAGTAACAGCAATCAAGACATAGGTTGGCACTGTGAAATAAATATTCCATGTAAGTCACTGTAAGTTAAAAATAGGAAATGACATCGTAGGATTTATTGACACCCTTGAGAGTCTTTCCTGTCCTAAGCAGAAGAGCTCTGACAGTCATTTAGCTTGGCTGGAGAGTGCGTGGGAAGGGACCCCACCAGGCTGCACTGCCCCAGGCATCCGGCGTTCGAGAAAATCACCCCTGCACACTCTCATCCACACACAAGCAAGTCAACCTCTCACCTCAGCCGTTCCTAGACTCGGCTTGGTGTGGGGACAGCAACGTTCCTGTTGGGCTAAGGAGATGGCTCAGTCCATAAAGAGTCCGCTGTGCAAGCAGGAAGACCTAAAAGTTCAATTCCTAGCCCCCATAAAAAAGCCAGGTGTGGCAAAGCCACCTATAATCCCAGCATTGGGCAGGCAAAAACCAAGAGAATCTCTGGGGTTTGCTCGCCTCCAGGCTAGCCCAATCGATCAGCTCCAGGTTCAGTAAGAGACCCCATCTCAAAAAAGAAAGAAAGAAAGAAAGGTGGAGAGTGATTGTAGTAATCACCTGATATTGGCATGCACATGTGCATGCACCTCCCCCCCCACACACACACACAGGCCTCTATTCAGAACCACAAATGGTTAGCATATGGTTTATTATTCATACCCAAAGAAGAGCTGTATAATAAAGTACAGCTCTTTCCCACACCATAAGAGGCCCAGGAACAATAAAACTGCCTCCCAGGGGCTCCCTGTGGCTTTCAAACAGAATACATACACACACACACACACACACACACACACACACACACACACACACACACACACACACACACTCACCAGCAGCCACTCAGTCTGGGGAAAACTTGGAATGAGCACATCCTGTGGGATTACCCTGAGCAGCTCTTGAACACCGCGGGGAGAGGAGCTGCCCAGAGTGTCTTCACAGGGCACTAGAGGAAGCCTTTAGGAGCTTGTGTCACACCATCACCTTCCACACAACCCTGGTCCTGATCTCAAACCCAAGAGCCACTGAGCCGTTTCTCCTTCCAACCAAGAGAATATGGCTCTGTGGGCTACACTTTGCTGAGGAATGGACTGGAAAAACACCCCTAACTGTGTTGAAGAAAAGGAGACGGCAAGGGGATGGGTTTTCCCTTACTGCTGTGTGGAAAGGAAATTGAGTATAACACCTAGTAAGGAGACCTCAGGAGGAGAAGAAAGCATTTCTCCAACACCTCCCCAGAACTGCTCTGGAAGTTGGTCTTGGTTGAGATCACATTTTTGGTTAATTCTGTGTGCTTCCACAGTTAGTCAATTTTAACCTTTCTTACAGCACTCACTGCACTTAAAGGTCCCTGGGCAGATTTCCGGTGCCAAAAGCAACAGGAAATAGCAGACAGTGACCTGTTCCCCTGTTCTACTAGATTTTGAAATCAAATCACAGATAACAACAACAACGTTTTCAACAGAGAGGCAAGAAGGCATTTTCAAAGTCTTCTTCCTTAAGCCAGAGTATGAAAGCTAAATACCCTGTCAGCTTCCAGAACAGGATCCTAGAGCCAAGGGCAAAGCCAGGGCCGTTTCACTCAGCCTCAGCTGGATTCCTGATGTGTTATCTCTACGGAAGGAAACAAGAAAGAAGGGAAATGGCCATGGGGTAGATCCTTACAGAATATTAACTGTTAGAGGGGTGCTAAATTAGAAGGTGAAAGGCTGCATTTGGCTCCCAAGTTGAAGGAAATGTAAAACAAGGCTGATATTTCAGAGGTGTATCTTCCACCTAAATAGTTCGCAGAGCAGAGGAAGTAGAGGACTTCCTACAGCTAATGTCAGCATGACAATGCCTTCGGAGCACACATATTCCCAAAACGGATGAGTCATGATTGAAGCAGTTCAAATTCCTTGACCATTTCAGTACAGGGACCTTTTACAGATTCTGGCCTTTTTGGTAAAATGATTAAACGTGCTCATGTGAAATCGATTTTTAAAAAGTAAACAAACAAACTGAGGTTTGAACCCAGGGCCTCACACATGCTAGGCAAATGCTCTAGCACTGAGCTGTATCCCCCAGCTCTCTTGTAACTCTTCACTTTGGGACAGGGGCTTACAAGTTGCCCACGCTGACCTGGAGCCCATTCTGTAGTCCAGGCAGACCTTGAACTTGGGATCTTTTTGCCTCAGCCTCTCAAAGAGCTCAGATGACCAGCCTACAGCAACAGGCCTTGCTACTCTGAATTTGTTGAACGAAGGGATTAAAATGATGTATATTTCTTTGTTCAAGCAGACATCTAGATGAGGTGAAATGTTGAAGTGAGTCTGTGTCAACACAACACACTTTATCATAAATTAACCAAAACAGAGTTCTCTGTGAGAGGTGATCCCAGCTAGTTGGACTCCAGGTTAGAACTAGGGAGGGGGAAAGGTATGTTGAAGTAAGGAAGAGAAACTACCCCCATCCCAAGATGCTGTACATTGAAATGACAACTCTTTAACTCCAGCACAGCCTTGGGAATAGACTCGACTTTCAGAGCTGGCTGCGGTGAAACACAGTTGTAACCCAGTACCAGGGAGGAAGAGGCAGAGCAGCAGGACTTCCAGGGTTAAAATAAATAAATGGTAGTTAAAAGAGTTCAGTTGGGAGAATGTTAGACTGAAGACGCAAATAAATAAATAAATAAATAAATAAATAAATAAATAAATAAATAAAATAAGCAAGCTCAGTGGTGGTGCAGGTATATAATCCTAACACTTGGGAGGTAGAGGCAGGAAGATCATGAGTTCTAGGTCATCCTCAGCTACTTAATGAGTTGGAGGGCAGCCTGGCTTACATGAGACCCTGTTTCAAAAATCAAATACATAAATAGTCTTCACCTTCTAGGTGAGTATCTATCAATATGCTTGTGGGTTTCTTGACTATTCCTTCCATCCACTGCCTTTGATAAAAACCCTTACGGAGCCCATGGCGGCAGAGCAGACTCTGTGAGAGGCCAACTGCAGGTTCAGAAGCCACAGGAAGGAATGGAATGGTGACTTTAGTCTCCTGAGCCACCAAGATGGACTGTGTAAGCTTCCAGAGAAAGGCACAGGCACCTGCCTTGTTTCAGTTTTATTAGCCTGAGACAAGCAGCTGACCTCAGCCAGAATGTCCCTGATTTAATGACTCGGGTGATCTGGGGGAAACGCCGGAGGAGTTGAAAAGGGTAGAATGTGGAGGCAGAGGACCCAGCTCCTTGCAGTCCAAGCAGCTTTCTCCATCCTTCACCTCCTGCCAAGAGCAGTGTGGGCTGCTAGAGGCAGCACCCAAAGGGACAATATTGGCTTGCTCACCTTGTCGAATGATGGTGGTTGGCTCCCCGCCATGTAGGCTGGCTCTCCCAATGGAAGGCTCGCTGATGTCTGTCCAGTAAACCACCTTGTCCACACAGTCAAAGGCCAGTCCAATGATGACTTTTGCCTGGAAGTAACACCAGTGATTGGGACCAGTTCACCCACTAGTTAGTTATTGTTGTCTGGAACCTTCCCATGTGCCTATATCTCCTCAGATCGTATTTTACATGAAGCAAATATGCTTTGTCCATTCACAGTTTTTATTGTTGAATTGTAGAAACTACATAGTTCAGAAACAAAACTCTTTTCTAAATACATGTGTTTATACGTGTGTGTGTGTGTGTGTGTGTGTGTGTGTGTGTGTGTGTGTGTGTGTGCGCATGCGCGTGCGCGCACGCTTCTCTCATCTCCAGTTTGGTTTTCATTTTCTTAAAAAATATTTTTATTTATGTATATGTGTGTATGCTTATGTTTCTGTATATGTATCACCACAAATGTTCAAGTGCCCTTGGAGGCCTGAAGAGAGCACTGGGTCCCTGGAGATGGAGTCACTGGTGTTTGTGAACTGACTAACTTGAGGGCTGGGAACCAAATGGGTCCTCTACAAAAGCAGCAAGTGCTCTCAACCTCTGAGCTCTCTTTCCAGCCCCAAGAATGAACATTTCAAATATACAAGATCCTACAATGAGTACTACAAAGACTTAAAGAGTAAAATTAGAGATGGCCCAGGGAACTAGAAAGAGATAAGTCAGGTTAATGAATTCTATAATTTAATATTGCTAAGACATCAGTTCTCCTTAGTGACAGTTCCAGTGACTCAGTGTCTCCTTTGTCAAAGTTATCAAGTTGTTTGGGTTTGCTTTTGTTTGATCGTTGTTGGCCCTTACATGTAACACTGGCTGGCCTGGAGCTCCCTAGGTAGAGCAGGCTAACTCAGAACTCACAGAGATCGCCCCCTGAGTGCTGGGATTAAAAGCATGAGCCACCACGCATAGCTGGATGTTTTGTTTTTGTTTTTGTTTTTTTAGTGGAATAAGAAGTTTATTTGAAAACAGGAACATGCAAACAACAATAGCAATGTGCCTGCTTATATCTATGATCTCAGAACCTGGGAGAGAGAAGCCAAGGAGTTTAAAGCTAGCTTTGACTACAATAATATGTTCAAGGCTAGCCAGAGCTACAAAATAAGTCTGTTTCAAAAAATAAACAAGTAGAAGTCTAAAATAGTCCAAAGAGTTAAACTCAAATCTCCCTGACTTTGAGGTCCACTATAATCAAGACAGAGCGGCCCTGACTGTCATAAGGTTTGCTGGAGAGACTAACACAGCAAACCAGAGCATCCAGAAGCGGCCTCTCTCTGATGCTTTAAGTGATGTTTTTGACAAGGGTACCTAGGTGCCAAGCAAGAAATATGGTTTTCTTAACAAATGGTGCTCTATCGTCTGAATAAACACATGGGGGTGGGCGGGGGCGGGGGGGGGGGGGGACCCCTCGAAACCCTCAGGCTGACCTCATACCATTGGTAAAAAATTAAAGGCTGACTCTATAGTGCTCCTTTCAGAAATCATGAGAGAACATCTTCACAGCATTCTGAATCAACTCATCACCAGACCAAGCTTGCAGAATGGATGATTCCAGAGCACAGAATCACACTTCTCAGTTTGTTACAGTAGTTCGTAAATAGGAATATGTTGTGTATTTAGACTTTCTTTATATGTAGATTGTTTGTTAAATTTGCATTATATTTGCAAATGGGGATTGTAATACATTAGATTACAAATACAACTACTGTCTTGGTTTCATATTATATTACATATAGCTATTAACTATCTTGATATTATAGTATAGTATGTTATACTATATTGATGTCATACAATATTATATACTGTAGTATATTTAGCTATTAATTATCTTGATATTATATTGTTTTGTTATATTATACATGACTATTAACCATATTAGCATTACATTATATTGTGTTGTATTATATTAATTATATTATATTATAGTCATTAACTATGTAGCCATGTCCCTAGAGCTGGGACTGTTATCAGGGCTAGTCAGCCGATACTCACAGGGATATGGAGAAAGGTCTTGGCTTCGGTCTTCTTCATGGTGTTTCCCTCCAGGGGCAAGCGTTCAATCTTCCCAGTCTGAGCAAAGAGTAAGTGAGTCCCTGGGGGTAGGGGGATGACGGCTGTAGGTACTACAGGTCTTTGGTGAATAGGGGGAGCCACTGTACTCAGACCTAGAGGGCAAGAGATGGTCAATGAAGGAGAGTTGTGAATACCAGAAATGCACAGGTGCATTCTAATGCTCAAACATACAGATGAATCTATGCATACATGTGCGAGAGCACACATGTACTTAAACATGTACATATATATGTTCATATGAATGTGTGTGTGTGTGTGCTCATGCACCCATCTCGTATCCCAGGTCTTGTCACATTTGTATGCAAATAGCACAGCACCCATTTTCTGTTTGAAAACTCCAGAGACAGAAAGCCTTTAGCCAGTCAAAGGGCATTTGTGAAGAAAACAGGGCAGAACATGAGTTTAGCATTAGAGGTCCAGCTGGGTAAAGAGCTAGCCTCGCTCCCTCTTACATAATGACTCGATTATTTATGCTCTGGCTGGATGCTGGGCTGGTGAGAGATCAAAGTAGCACTGGGAGCCACAGCCCTCACACCTCTGCCTGCAAGGGGTGATACTATCTTTCCCACTGGACAGAGAAAGCTCTGAGTGAGGGCTGACACACCCTGTCCACTGCTATGGGATGGAGCATCCTCTGACCTCACAGGCAGAAACACGTCCACCTAGGTTCTTACGACCAATGGGCTAGTCAGGGCTCATCCATCCTCTGATGTGGCCTGGCCTCCTTGACTTGTGACCTCCTGACCTTCACCCTGGCTGGCTCCCTGACTCCCTCAGCAAAGGAACTTCTATGGGCAAGGGGAGGTGAGAGTTGGCATAGCCTGTACCACAGGCTGGCCAGGTACTATCTGTCTTTCTACTGTGCACATAGGGCATGTGCCTGTCTGGGCTTCTCTTTAGCTGTCTAAATGGACAGCTGGCCAGATGTGGCACACACTTATAATCCCAGCACTTAGGCAAAGGCAAGAGGATCAGGAATTCAAGTTGATCTTTGGCTAACACAGCTACATTGTCAATTAAAGACCAGTCCCCAACATGAGATCCTGCCTCAAAAATATATACATATAAAAAAAAAAAGCCTGGGACATATTAAGGTCCAAGGGCCATTGAAAAGATAAAAACAGGTATCTCCACTAGAGTAAGCAAGGCTTTGGGGAGGGCCAAGAGACCACAGCATCCCTGTCTTGTCCCAAAGCCCAGCAGTCCAAAGCCTGTATCTGCCACAGGCCCCACTAGGAATGTTCACAGAGCACATGTATACCCAGAGATGGAAGAGGAGAACATTCACAGAAGCAGGGAAGAGGCCAAAGGTGACAGGTGAGGGTTGGTTGGTAGCATGTGAACAGGGAGACCAGGCAGAGCATCTGCTAACACAGGTCATTCTGGTCTTCGAGTCTACATGACAGCTGTCCACTTACATGGGGGCCTCATTCCGGGTGGGGTACGGGTACCCTCCAGCTCCCGACCATCGCGGTCCACACACCAGCAGTAGCCAGTACTGTGGTGGCACTGAGTGGGTTCATAGTGCCCATACTCGTCACACTGGGGTACAAACATCCCCAGTAGCCTGGGCTGCTGGGCATCTGTCGCCCCTGCTCTTCCAAGGATGTGCTCTCGCTCCAGCTGACACCGGGTTTTCTCCACCTCTGTCAGTGACAAGCAAAGCTGAGTGTCAGTCGAGCCACACATGGTATTCCCAAGTGCCACTTGTCAGACTTGTACCACAAAGGTGGCCTGTCATCACTGGCTCTTCACTCATTTTTTTTTTTTTTTTCAAATTCAAGATGTCATTATGAGAGCCAGGGATGTAGCTCATGGGTAGAGTGCTTGCATAGCATGCAACAAACCCTGGGCTCAGAAGTTCAAGGTCATCTTCGGCTCTGTGAGTTCATGACTAGCTTGACCTTGCCTCCACCCCACCCTCAGAATCATAATGACTTATGATTAAAAAAAAAACTACATCGTGCCATGCATGGTGGTACATGCCTTAAATCCCAGCACTTGGGAGACAGAAACAGGTGGACCTCTATGACTTCAAGGCCAGCCTGGTCTATATAGTAAAATCCTATCTTAAAAAAAAACCAAAATATTATTTATACCTGTAGATTTTTTTTCCTACACAGTTCTTTTAAATTTTTTAAAATTAAAACAAAACAGATAAAACATAAGATACTATAAATGACCAAGTCCATGACATTTGGCACATTTGCAGTGATGACCAGCTGTGGTTGCTGTGTGTATCCGAACCATTTTCATCACCCTAAAAGGAAACCTCATGCCTAGTGAGTAGATGCTGCCATGTTTCTTCCTCCCGACTCGGGAAGTTCCCAGTCTCCAGTCTTTTGTGGACTTTCTCATCTTGTATATTTCATACAAATGGAATCAGAGGACATGGATCCTGTGTCTTGCTTCCTCAGGATCCATCCTCACCGTGGTTGCCCACCAACCCTTCCTTCCCTTCGACAGCTGCATTGTATAGAAAAGCCACATTTTGTTCAACTCTGTTTCCACTGATGGATGGCCCTGGGATTTGTCCTAAGGCATTTTAAGTTCATCTTAAATTCTTCTTTTACCCCCTGAAGCTTCATGTGATCAACACTGAGTTCAAGCCAAAGAATTCAGAGGCCAAAGACCAGGAAGCACTCGATGGCTTCTGCGTGTTTCCCTCTAGTGAAGGCCTATCCTGCCATGAGATCTGGCCCCTAACCTGCACAGCTCAGATTCCTAAGCAGGGGAACACTGTTATACAGGAAGCTTAGGAAGTTGGGCCACAGTGTGAGCCTGTAGTCTCCGCTCTCGGGGGTGCTAATGCAGGAGGATTAGAGGTTCAAGAAGAATCTGTCTCAACAAAACAAAACAAAACTTGACATAGAATAAACAACTCCTAAATGTGCAGAGTTGCAGCTGGCCTCACATTCCCTGGAGTCTAGCCACCATGGGGGACAGCAGAGTGGTCACCTCTGAAGCATGAATCACACAAAGACATTGATGAGAAGCATCCGTTCTCCGTGCCATGACTGCTGAGAGCTACATTCATCCAAGTCTTAGTGCTTCTTCCGTCCAGACCTTTCCATGACTTGTTCTTTGTGTGACACCCCCTTAATGTCCCAGGTGAACCCCTTTTCCGTTGCCTGGTCAATCCTCCAAGACCTCCTGTAGGAAGACCTCTCACAACACCCCTCCATGCTGGGTTCAATATTTCTGGCACACTCCCAGGCCTTCCAGGTGGTCTGCAAGGTGCCCTAAGACCAGAGACTCTAGGGTCCCATGACCTGAAGGAGTTGTTCTCTGTCTGCTGAGCAGACCCAGGGCTCTCACAGGGTGGTTGTCCTTCACCTTTACCGAGAATAGGCAACTAGACTGGGTGCACACATAACCATCTTTAGACCTGCCCTCAGGGAACCATAGCCAGAGGGACAGAGCAAGACACACAGAAGAGCTTCTCTCCACTGGGCAGGAGAGCACCAGAGAGCACACACATGGGCCTGTTAGGGTGGCTGGGGGATTGTGATTAAACAGCTCTTAGATGGGGCTTGGCCTACTTTCTGGCTTTGTGTACCAATGCTGCCTGTCACAACTACCCAATTCTGTGATGGCAGAGTGAGAGAAGTCATGCTTGATATGTAAATTAATGGACAATAAAACTTTATTTACAATCAGGGTGTGATGGTGCACAGCTTTAATCCCAGCACTGGAGAGACAGAAGCAGGTGGATCTCTGTGAGTTCCAGGCCAGACTAGTCTACAAGGAGAGTTCTAGGACAGGACAGCTAGGGCTGTTATACAGAGATACACTGTGTGTGTGTGTGTGTGTGGCACACACACACACACACACACACACACACACACACACACACACACACAAAGGACACAAGCAACCCAAGCCAAACCAAACAAAAACAACAAAATTTTATTTATAAATAAGCAGTAGCCAGATTTGGCCTATGGGGATAATAGTTACCAGTTCTGGCTCTCGGACACTGCTCTTTATTTTATGGGAAGTTAACCATATGAGGCTTTCTCCATGTTATGATGTGGCAACAAGGCCCCCACCATTTAACCATGTACTTCCCAGCTTACAGAATTCCAAGCCAAATATGTTTCAGTTCTTTATAATTATCAAGCCTTTGGTATTCTATTATATCTGTGAACAAGCTAACACACATGGGTGGAGCCTTAAGATGTCCACTTGTGACCTGGCCTATATAAGGCAGGCATGGTGACTTCAGGAAATGAATATACAGCCAAATGACACGTGAAGTATCTCATCTGTGTGGCCAGTTTTCATGCTGACTGGCCTAACACAATTGCTTCCTTGCTTAGAGACAGTTAATATGCCGAAAAGTGTTTGTTGAACCTGGCAAGAGAAAAAATTGTGTGTGCTTTTCTTTTGTCCCTGAGGATAATGTAAAAATAATAATAATAAGGAGGAGGAGGAGAAGGAAAAGAAGAAGGAGAAGAAGAAGAATAGGAAGAAGAAGAAGAAGAAGAAGAAGAAGAAGAAGAAGAAGAAGAAGAAGAAGAAGAAGAAGAAGAAGAAGAAGAAGAAAAACACTTGATGCAGGAAGAGCCAAAGATATGAATAAGCCATCTGGTTAGAATCAAAATATTGATTTTTGTATTCTATTGGATACAAAACTTATTTTCTTTCTCAAAACCTTCATTTGTTCAGGGTTTAGAGTTTCCATACTAGCTGACTCCATTTCCACATATATGTCACTTAGTACCTATTATATGTATATGTGTATGTCTGCATGAGTGCACAGCATGTGTGCGGATGTCCTCAGGGGCAAACAGAGAGTGTCCTATCTTCTGTATCTGGAGTTACAGGTGGTCATGAGCCATGATTGACATGTGGGTGCTGGGAATGGAACCCATGTCCTCTGTAAGAGCCGGAAGTGCTCCTAACTGCTGACTCATCTCTCCAGTTTCCATGCCCATTGTGATAGGAATTTGGTTTTTACAATAAAGGAAAAAGAACTAAAGCTGAAGGAGGTTAAGAGACTCCTCCAGGGTCACAGCACTGTAAGTGACTTGCCACCGATTAGAACTGAAGTCTGTGCATTCCTGGTCCAGCCCCTGCCCCTGTTAGCCTTGAGTTTCTGCAGCCACCTCTCCCAGCAGTCAGGCTGGCTCCAACAGTGAACATGTTAACATCAATGAGGACTGGGAGGGCTGATCTTCATCATCAGTGGGACTGGATTTGGGATCACCTAGGAGACACACCTCTGGGCATGCCTGTGAGGGTGTTTCCAGGGAGGATTAACTGAGAGGATTACATTGAATGTGAGTGCACCATGACAGAATAAAAAGGGAGCTGAGTCCTGTGTTCATCTCTCTGCTCCCTGACTGTGGGTCAGAAGGGACCAGCTGCTTTACCATCTCTCTGCTCCCTGACTGTGGGTCAGAAGGGACCAGCTTTACACTCCCATTGCAGTGTTTTCCCCGCCATGATGGTCTGTGTCCCCTCAAGCTAGGAGCCAAGATGAACCTTTCTTTTTTTTTTTTTTTTTTTTTTTTTTGGTTTTTTCGAGACAGGGTTTCTCTGTGTAGCTTTGCGCCTTTCCTGGAACTCGCTTTGGAGACCAGGCTGGCCTCGAACTCACAGAGATCCGCCTGCCTCTGCCTCCCAAGTGCTGGGATTAAAGGTGTGCGCCACCACTGCCCGGCAAGATGAACCTTTCTTAAGTTAGTTTTCTCAGGCATTTTGTCCCAACAATGAGAAAAGTGATGAGCACAATGATTCTTATTTCCTTAACATACCCAGGGAAGTAAATATTTGTATTAACCGCTTTGACAGCTACAGTGGATTAATGTTCTAGGTGTCTCCAACCAAGTGGAACTTTCTCTCTCTCTCTCTCTCTCTCTCTCTCTCTCTCTCTCTCTCTCTGTGTGTGTGTGTGTGTGTGTGTGTGTGTGTGTGTGTGTGTGCAGGAGTGCACTTGTGTGACTGTATTTAGAGGGCAGAACTCAATCTCGGGTGTCATTCCTCGGTTTTCTTTGTTTTCTGAAACAGATTGCTGGACCTGAGGCTTACTGACTAGGAGATGCTGGCTAGCCAATGAGCCCTACGGATCCGCCTGTCTCTGCCTCCCCAGCACTAAGATTTCTAGCATGTACCATGTCCAGTTTCCAAATGCAAGTTCTAGAGACTGAACTTGAGTCCTCTTTCTCATATTTTACCAACTGAGCTGTGGCCCCAGCCCCCAAGCAGAACATTTGAGAGAGTGAGGGTTATTTCATTTTGTAGAGCAGGAAGACTTTTATGTTGTTACCATTGAATATTCAAAAGTTCAAATCATCTAGAATAGACCCTGAAACTTTCAGAAATGTCTTGAATGTATAAGGATAGGAAACCACAATTCTGAGTCAGGAAATAGAACTTGAAGAATGTTTATAGAAGGCTAGGTCCTCATAGGCTTCCAGGAGTGAATCCTCTCCTGGCAGACAGGCAGCAGGAGTGGCCAAGGGTACCAGCATTAACTCCCTAGGGAATTTTGCATCAAGGGCCTGGTAGAGAAAACAGGGTCAAGAAGACGCATTTTCTGGGCGGTAAAATTATATCAGACAAGCTACTTCTTCTGGCTGGCTCTGCTGGGAGAAGAAACACGTGGTCACCTTGATACATCTGAGGGCAGGCAGGAAGT